CCACTCCACCCCCCCTCCTCCTCTCTCTCTCTCTCTCTCTCTCTCTCTCTCTCTCTCTCTCTCTCTCTCTCTCTCTCTCTCTCTGTGGTTAAGGCCCAAAACTGGGTATAAAAGTTTGAGTGATGTGAGCAGTGAAATCCCTCTCTACTGCTACTCCAATCAATCAAAATTGCATTTTGGTCTGTAACTGTTGTGTCAAGATTTTGATATTTTGTTCAACTTGTCATAGTGAGAAAGTCTTAACAGCAAAATTTTGCTAGCTTTTCTTTGGCCTGACAGTTTAAAATACCCATCTGGTATTGATGTGTATGTAGCACTAGAGTTACCCATCTGGTATTGATGTATGTAGCACAAGAGTTTATGGGGTGCAATATATGAGCACTGAAGATGTAAGGTGGTGCTCCCCAAGTGTGAATTATTTGAGTCTCTCTCTCAGAGTTGCATATTAAGGTTTTCAGATGTATCTACAAAATTTTATTCATTCGCTTTTTCGAGTTTTCGATGTGAAACCAAATTCCTTAATCTGAATTACTTTTGCTGGGCCGTTTTGCTATTTAGAATTTTCGTTTTTGATGACGGAAGTTCCAATACCTAACCCCAGTTCTAAGTTCGGTTAGGGGCGTGGTTTGAGAAATGGGGAGACCACGTCACTCAAAAACATGAAGTGCGGACCTTCTAGCTGCACTTGTGTTTCAAAACACCAGCTTCTCCCATAAAAAAAATACATCCTCTCCCTCTTTCCTTCCTCTCTCCTCCCTGCGTTCTTTCTTTACCTTTATTTTCTCTCCTCGAGTTCTCCTCCTCTCTGTAACCTTCTGCCTTTGATTTTATCATGCTGTAAATATAGGTTTAACTACATTTGCATGATTTTTCTACAGCTTTTGTGCATTATAAATCAATGGAATAATTGATTTAAGGGATATAAGAAGCCCTAAATTAGATGATAAATTCATCTTGATCATTTTCCCTTGATTTTTGAACTAATAATTACCCTTTTTTTTCTACTGAAAATGGGTTTACTTGCTATTTTCTGATAAATCCACCAAAGGGCATCGTTCTGCTTTATTTTTCAACCTATCTTTCTCAAATTTGGCTTTAACTGATTATTACCCTCTTTTTGTGGATCTGACTTGAAGAAAATCGGTTTTTTCCACCCATTTATTGAATCTGCCAAATATAATTTTTTTTGTCTTTTATCGAAACGAATGGCGTTTCTCAGCTACAACGAACTTGGTTTATTTATGCTAGGTATCATAATAATTTTTTGTTTATATTTTTCACTTTGAATTATTTGCTCGGGTTTCATGTAATATTACACTTATTAAAAATCCGCCAAATTGAAAGAAATCTTCATTTATCACTTTAAATTGATATTGATTCAATTCGATGGATCCAAACGGGTTATTGCATAGATCTAGGCCCAAAACTAATTACGTTTCAAGGTTTTCCCAAAAAAATGTTATTTTTTGGAAAAAATGTTATTTTTTAGAAAAAATGTTATTTTTTAGAAAATATGTTCAAAATGGCAAAAAAAAAAGTTTAGAATGACACTTTTTTTTTTTTCCTTTATTCTATGAATATCTTGATTTTTTTTGGCTCAATTTTATTTTTTAGGAAAAAGAAAGCTCACTTATTTGAAAAAATATATTTTGATTTTATAATGTGAACTTTATTAGGAATTTCGATTTTTTTAGTCTATATTATTTGACTCGAATTTTTTTTTATCTATATTGATTCAATATAATTTCATTTCATTGTCTTGTAGAATGACAATTCCAAAAAGGAAAATTGTTTCGTGCGGGTTGGACCGTATTTCTACATATGCGGTCCAGAAAGTGTAAAGCATCCATCTTTAAGATATTTATCGGTTATTACAATAGAATGTATAATTATTCTAAAAATATATCTTAAACATTTCTATATTTTTTTTAATTGGTAAAATTTAAAGACATGCATTATTCGTAGTCTTTTTGTAAAATTTTGAAAGAGTTTTCAAGCTCCCTCTAAATTCCAGGCAGGTTACCAAACACAGTATTCTCCCGTACAAGGAGTTATATATAACATCCAGATTCACTAGGAGAAGGAACTTTCAAGTTCTAAATAACAACATACTTCCAGTTCTCAAACGGGAGTCTTTTACATCCAAGAAAAACAAAAGTAGGATCTAGAGCGAGAGGAAAACACATGAGGGAGAGAGAGTTTTTGTCTGTATAATGCACAGCAGCTTGGTTCTAGAAAATGGACAAAAGAAGGGCAGTCTCTTGGTTTCTCCGATTATTCATGGCTCAGTCTGATCATTGATCAGACAAGATCAGTACACCAAAGTTCTAGATATCAATCAACTAATGTAATGAGATATCAATCAACTATATAATATATTAATATACCAAAGTTGATATCAGTCAACTAAGGGGATGCATCATGTTCTTTTATCCACAATTTTGGGATCTACTCTGCAATTACCTGTCGAGTATTTTCAAGAAAGTGTGAATACTGAAATATGACCATCCAAAAACTGGATAACCTCGTCATGCCTGGTTCCAAGTCAGTCATGTCGGTCCCAAACTTGGATAAAAGATGAAAGTTAGGTAGCCAGCACAAAATTTTGCCACATCTTTTTATGAGTTCTCAACCATTGATGCGTTGGATCTAATCTGTATCTTATGCGTATAGAGTCTGTGATATATAAAGGACACGGTTTCTATGAGTCTACAAACTCATGTAGAAATGAGTGCCCCTTAATAATTTATTTTTTAAATTTAATTTAATCCTAATTTTTGGGGAGTATATAATTTTTAACATATAAATTATTAATCTATAAAAATAAATAAATTTTAAAAACTATAAATAATATTTTTTAGAAAAAATATTAGAACCGTTGATTTTACTTTTTCTTTGAAGAACAATTATTTATGGTGTAGATCTAAACTTACTTTGGTGGATGGTGTAGATCTCCAAGCCCGCATGGTAATAGATGCGGGTTTGAACACACCAAACAATTCTCCATATATAAATCCTAGACAGTGGAACAATGTTGTTTGAATAACATTGGATAAAACACGGAATATTGCAAAAAGCCCAGGCAATGACCTAACGATTGTATCATAATATAATGCAACTACATTTATGGAAAATCATGTTTGTGGTATTTGTATGGCCAAAATTTTGCACACACACTCTCTTCATCTCAATAATCAATCCCAATAAAGGAAAAAAAGTTCTATTTGAACTCTAGATATCGCCAAAATGAGTCCTCTCCAACAACGAATCTAAACCATTCATTTGGTGAATTTGAAGATCTTAGCCTTTACAAACTGCAAATCGTTTTTTTTTATTTAACATTGTTCATCCAATGATAAAAAGCCATCTACAAAAATTGGAAAAGAAAAAATTCCTTCTAAGGCCTAGATCTAAATATCTTATCAAAATGGATGGCCTATGTTAATTGAGATAAAAATATACTTTCTAAGTTGTGTTTTCAACTTTTTATTTTTTGTGATAGTACATTAGAATGAAAAGAGTGTTTATTTTAAAATTTAAATGAAACAAGCGGTCTTAACATGGTTTTTAGATATTATTACATTATATTACTATACAACTTTTGCATGAAATCATTGCCCAAGTCCCTTTTTTGGATTATCTATTTTCAATACCTACATATTAGAATAGGTTTACATGGGATTACAAATTTTGTTCGATTATAAGTTGATATTTGTCCGAATCAATGTGATTTGTTTGATTATATATTGATATTTGTCCAATCCATGCGATTTCCGTAATTAATTCATTCATAGTATGACTAATAAAATGGGGAAAAAGTTTATATAAGGTTGCAACCTTATATTATTGAAGTTAGGTGCACCTAAAAAAATCCTACACTAGAGAGTGTTATGGCAAAAAAAAAAAAAAAAAAAAAAAAAAAAAAGAAAGAAAGAAAGAAAGAAAAGAAGTAGAAGAAATTGAGCAGTTCCATAATTCCTCAAACCCAAATGGACATGGTTTTGGAAACCATGGACTCATATATAGAAATGTGGCCTCTCTTAATAATCTATTTTTGAAAAGGATTTTGGCCCTAATTTTAAGAGAGTGTAATCTCTATAATAGAGATCATTAATATGTAAAAATAAATAAATTTAAAAATAATAATTTTGTAAGGAAATATTTGGATCCTTGGTTTCAATTTTTTTTATATCCATCTTGGAGTAGATGGTTTATACATCAAGGGAGGCAAATATAAGAATGCATCCCCAAGTACATATAGCCTTTTACCATCTCAAATCCTCCATTCACTTATCAATTACAATCCATTCGGACGATTCTAAATCAACTCGATAATTTTTTTATTTGCACGTTTGATAGATCAGAACAAAAGAAAATGGGCTTCAACCGAGACTAGTTTCTCCTTGGGGTTGTGCATCCCCCACGGTTCATACTATCCTACACTCCACAGTCCATTG